TTTTGTACATGCTAAAAGAAATTTATTTGAAGGCTTTTATTAAATTATGTGCTACCTAACCTATTGGTTTCTTTTTTATGTAAGATTTAATTAATGTGTTGAATAGTATACTAGAGATTAAGAAGTAGTCTGGTTAAATTGATATGGTTTAGATATTAAGGTTTAATATAGTAAATAACATAAAGACCCATTGACATCATTGAGGAATGTGATTGAAACATGGAATATTCTGGAAACTATCTGCAAATGTAAGCATTCTTATTGCAGCAAGACTAATATTGGCCAGAGGTTAGTAATATTTTATGATCTCCCTGATTAGGTAAAGGGTAGCCTGAGGTAGTATAAAATGAGATGCAGCCTCATGAATTCTGTCATTGCTCAGAGGTTCACAGATCTTTCCTCATTCACATGCAGTCTCTAGAATGTAGACCATTCTCTCTATTAACCTCCCAAACATCTCACAGTCTCGAACACAAGAAAATCTACTATGGATATATGAATATTAAGCTTATGATATTGGAATATAATAAGAAATATATATTTGGTCTTTGTCACCAGTTCATGGCACAGAACCTTGAAACTTTCAGGGAGACGGGGTGATAAGAACATCTGTTCTTATATTTGGGTTTTGTCTCCAACTTTTCTCCAGAGCAATAAAGGTAGAAGGAACATCTTTTCTTATCTATTTGTTTTTAATTCCCAGTTCATGAATTAGCTCCAGAGCAATCAAAATGGAAGAAGCAACTTTTGTTATTTATAACAAGACCCTTTCAGCCGTGCCTGAGTTTATGCTCATGAGGTCACTCTTGACGGTCTCGATAGCTTCCAGATGGGCGCTGGTTGCCAGAGGAGCCAGTCATGAGATTAGAGGTTGGAACTTTCAGCCCCACCTCCCTAGGGGAGGGAAGGGCCTAAAGATTGAGTTTAATTACCAATGGCCAATGATTCACTCAAAGATGCCTGAGTAATAAAACCTCCATAAAAGACCCTGAACAACGGGGTTGAACTGAACAGGGCTTTTTAGGCGATAGAATAGTTATAGCTATAGCCAGTAATGAAACAGACATTGAGAAAACAGGATAAAAGCCCAGAAAAGTTTGTCCATGGCTTATTTAAGATGCAACGAGTCATAGGAGAGAAGGGGGAGGAGGTTATAAGACATCATCATCTGTTTCCAGTTCCCCTCGGAGATGAAGAAACACAAACCCAAGGATTGAGTCACTTTCTGGGCCAGAAAAAGAAAACATTCTCCTTAGCTATATATAGGCAAAGCAACGTAAAGACCTCTTTGCTTCCTTACTCATGTCTAAATTGTGCTCCCCTAACCACTTTCTAGTCTTGACCATTGGCAGCTTCATTCTCTTTGCTTATTTCCTTTCCTTTCCTTTGTTCTGTATGTTTTTAATTACTATAGAGACCAAAAGAAAACTTCTGCTTCAACCCCTGAAGGTTCACTGAAAATCAACTGACAAAAAGGCAGATTAATAGGAGAAATGGCATTAAAAAATTATTTTAATGTCATGGAGGTGGGAGTAAGGGAAAGCAATGCACAAGGAAATTGCAGAAGAGTGATTGCCCAATAACGCAATAGGGTACAGAAGCTTCTCTGTCAGTCTTCATAGGGGAGAGAAGAGATGCGGAGGGAATGCAGGGGTAAATGATTTACAGGGCCAATGAATGAGCTCAAAGAGCAACTGCCTGGGACCGAGTTTCTCATAGCTCTGGGGGAGGTGATGTCACAGGTGAAGGGAGGAAAGCGGTCAGCAAGGGCTGTCTTGTTATGCAGATGAAAACATCTCGGGTAATCTAGCAGCTGCCTTCAGAAAGAGCAGATGGTAGACAAGGAAAAGGGGGTCTCAGCCGAGGCATGGTTGTTTACTTCACTAGAGCATATCTTTTTCCTGTATAAATGCAATTATTTTCCACAAAAGACAGCTTTTTAGCTATTTTTGGTTTTCCAGCCTCTCTGAGTCTTGGATGTATATTTGGGCTGAAGTATTTTGCTTTCCTTTATTACAATGGCATGCCTGTACAAGAGTAATGCAAAACTGCGCAGTGAAGATGATTAACTAGTAGGGATTGAAAATAAAAGATGTACTATTAGACAGAGAGAAAGTGAAATGTTGTGGGGCGAATGCACAGAGGAATCCAAGACTGGCATCAGTGTTGTAGTTTTATAGCTTTTATCTTAGCGTTGCAGCTCTTTGTTCAGTGTTACAGCGCCTCTTTTTGCTTGCAAGCAAGGAGAGCACTGGGGAGCAGGAACTCCTAAACCAGTGTCTCCCAGAACAAAGGAAGAGACCTCCCTATATAGCCTAAATTCCCACCCTTTTCCCTCACAGGTTCCCATTCAGGTCCTCTTATGTAAATGACGTATGCTGTCCTGCTAATTTGGATTGGCTGATTGTGAGACACAGTCCGTTTGTCACTTTAGGAGCCTAATTTGCCTCTGGTCCCTGGGGGGGTGTGAGACTGTGGGCCCAGGAAGCAAGCAGGGTAAATGGCAGGGGCCAGAGTCTGCAGTGGAGCATAGAGTTCCTAAAACAGTTTCTCAGTGGAAAAGGGAAAGGCTCAACAATTAGAAAATGCTTAGGGTTCCGTGCAACAAATATCGTTCTGTTTTGGCTTGACCTCTTTTAATGGAGACATAAGACATAAATCAGCAATTTGAATCAAATTCCTTTCCCACAAGCAACGTTGGGTTGTTCTTTTGAAAATTAGTGTCCATGATTGAACTATGCAGACACAATTTGATTCTGTTGTTTAGGAATTTAGATAAAAACAACTAAATCGGTTGCTGGTGGTAAACACTGCCCCTAGGAGATGTTTACACTCAGAGATGAGATCCACACAAATTTGTATAAAATATTCTCACTCTATAGACTCAGACATACAAGATAGGTAGCGTCACATTATTTTCAGTTTATCAGATTATTGTTGTTTCCTGTCACCACTGGCTAAGAAATTCCTTATAAGTCATTCATGGGAGTTTCCTCTGTTCCTAGGATTACATCAAGATTCTGGGAAAAGCAGCCAATGACTACTCCTGGAATTACACTGGTTACGGCTCTATCCTCATGTGCCCTAAGTCCTCAGTGCGGTATCTCTCCAATACTTTGAAACTAACTTTGTCTTGCTAGTTCTTCATACAATGATTGGTCGACAACAAGGTAACTCACCATTACTGGAAGTGGAACAGCTCATTTATGCAACCCTAAATAATTTCATTTTTTCTTAGTCTTGATCAGAGTATTGGGCTTGGACTGATCAGTGGAACTGGGGTGTTGAAAAGTTGAAATCAATCTAGATAAATCATGATTAAACTTTTATGGAACAATGACCATTTGAAATTCTGATGACACTTTAGACCCATTAACAGATTTTTCTTTTATAAATATATTAACACAAAAATTTTATATACTTTTATTGAAAATGAATTTCCTTAACATAATGGTGTAAGCTGTTTTTGCCAAAGATAAGTGTCTCATTCTAATTTTTATGCAAATATTAAGGTCCTTCTTTAAAGAAAAATATAAATGAATTAGTACTATACTGTATTAACAAAGCAAAATTAAATAATTATTTTCATCAAACATATATCCTAATGGTGAACTGCCATCATTTGGCTTAAATAAAGGTGAATTATATTCCTACATCATAGAAGTAAAGAGAAAGTAGAAGTAGACTGAAAATACCAGATCTAGCAACTCCATTCTGAATCATCTAAATCTCCAAAAATAGATTTAGGTGGTTGAAGAGTACTAATGTCCTCATGAATATGACCTTAGCCAGAGAACAGCCATCTTTAGGGTAACTAAGACCAAGCAGAAAATTTCAGCTAGCCATTAAGTTGAGAACTGAAAATCATCAATTCCTGAGTTAGGAGAGGAAATAGGAAACTGGTCGTATGACTGGAAACTACCCTGAGATGAAATCATGCTCCAAAAGGATCCTTCTCAAAGGTTTATTTCTGTTTACCTCACATGACACTCTCTTATATTGATTTATTTTAGATGTTGTGCACCTACTGTTGGAAAAACTCAAAATTAAAATTTGTCCTGTGCTTGAACAGTGCTCCTGTAGCTAAATGTGCCTATCTACCAAGGCCCCCAGAACTCAGGCCCATTAATAACCAACTGCCTGCCTGTATTCCTCTTCTTTGTAATCTCACTTGTATTGCCTCCTTGGACCACATGAATTCAGAGAGGCTGAAACCAGCAACTGCCTGCTTTAAGATACATGCTTAGAAACGGAAACTTAAAAAGGCAGCCTAACCTGACTATAAAGGGACCCGCAAAACCTTTGTTTGGGGTCCAGAACTTCAGATTGGTTAGCTCATCTGGACCCACTAGCGTGATAAACTTCTGACTCTCCAGCCCCCCAAGTGTCTGCTGCTTCCTTGGTGAATCCATTCTATAATACTACAATTAAGGATTGAAACTAAGTTTTCTTGTTCTTTTTCCTTACTTCCCTAAATCAACTGCAAACAGTGGAAATAAAAGAGAAGGCAAAGCACCCTAGCTGATTATTAACTCACCTTCTTGCTTAAAGGAAAATTACATCCACATTAGTTGGACCCGAGTCAGGTATTATTATGTTCCAGTGATGTTTGACTGAGGTTATTGTTTTTGAGCTCACCCTAGGAGATGAGGACTACAACCCTGAAATAACATCAAGGGCATGAAGCTGACCAGTCCACCAACTGCAGACACCCTGATGCCAAAGCACCCAGGGTATCATGGGACCCTGATGTCTGACTCAGACCCTCTACTGATCCTGTGACCAGCCTTCCCCTTTTTCCTGCAGAACAAAACCCTTACTTATCTCACCTTCCCACCTCTTCCCCTTTATAAACCCCAGAGCAGGCATCAGAAGGTGGGATGATAAACCCCCAAATACCAGTTATCTGAATAAATCTTCCAATCCTTGCACCAACTTTTGCACTTTCAAGTCATTTGTTTAGTGTATGCTAGAGTTTGGGTGTGTTGTTGCCCCAAAGTTCACGTCAAAATCTGATCCCCAATTTAGCAATGTTGGGAGTGGTTTGGGTTAGGGGGCAGATGCCTCATGAGCAGATTAATGCCCTAAGGGGGGCAGTGAGTGATTTCTCATTCTAGTAGGTCCCATGAGAGTTGGTTATTTAAAGGCACCTCACCCCTCTCTCTCTTGTTTTCTCTCATCATGTGATCTTCTTTTAGTTGCAGGTTGACCTGCCTTTTTCTGTCATGAGTTAAATCAGCCTGAGGCCCATGCCAGATGCAGCTGTCCCAGAAGCATAAGCAAATAAAGCTCTATTCCTTATAAATTATCCAGTCTCAGGTATTCCAATATAGCAACACAAAATGGACTAACACATAAAATTGGTACTGAGGAGTGGGGTGTTGCTATACAGAGACCTGAACATGTGGAAATGCTTTTGGAACTGGGTAATGGGCAAAGGTTGGAGAAGGTGACAAAAAGATGAGGGATAGTTTTGAACATTTTAGAGATTGGTTAAGTGGTTGTGACCAGAATGCTGATAGAACTGTGAGCAGTAAAAGGTTTTTGCATTGGGTACCATCTATTCCACCATCTTGACAGGAAGTCTTAGAAATGTTAGGGAATGAGGGACGTGCCATAGACCTCAACCCAGCCCCTGCTCCTTCCTCCCTCTTCCACCCTATTTCCTTCCTCTTTCCCCCTTCCCTCTCCCCCACAACTGCTACACAACCACATCATAGAATATGAAAGAAGAATAATACTAATAAATAAATAAAATTTTTTTAAAAAAGAAATTTCATTCCGTACAAACTGCCACATTTCCAGTCACTGCTTCCTGAAATTCTTTAGACAGGGACATACATTACATCCAACATTCCCTGACTAAATGTTCCTTGAACTCAACTGCCCATAAGGAATAAAGTAGAGTCACGCTCTTGTGGAGGTCAGGATCATTAAATGAGCTAAGCAGAACTCAGTTTCAATCACTAAAGCTAGGCAAGATTTTCAAGTTATTACATTTTCAGGCAGAATGACCCTGTCTTACTGAAGTTGAGGTCATTTTTATTGCAAAAAAAATAAAATAGGGCTGGCCCGGTGGCGCACTGCTACAGTGCGCCGCTTGGGAGAGCGGCAGCGCTCCCACCGAGGGTTCGGATCCCACATACAGACCGGTTCCCGCTCACTGGCTGAGCGAGGGGCGGGCGCAGCACCGAGGGTTGCGATCCCGTTGCCAGACCCGGTCCGGTACGGGCGCGACACTGAGGGTTGCGGTCCGTTGCCGGACACGAAAAAAGACAAAAAAAAAAAAAATA